ACCCCCCGATTGTTCCGGTGGGAGGAAGCGGCGGGAGACGGCAGGGACTTCCCGACTGCTTCGATGGTGACCCATGGCTGGGAATAACGTGCTGCACGGCCCACGCCTGGCAGAGAACAATACGCTGAGGAATGGAAAGTGGCTCCCAAGCCCAGTGGCGTTAAGTGTTCAGATAAAAATGCCTTTTTATCAACTGCCAACGCTGCTCCGTCCCCTTCACCGCAGGCTCCAACACTCTGCATTTAGAGCAAATGAAGCCTGCACGCTGGAGCCGACAGAGCCGGGAGCTCCTCGAGGCACAAGGGGAGCAAGGAAAACATTGGTGGCCTCAGGCTGCTCCAAGCAGGACAGGGAGCAGAAAAGGGCTCCAGCCACCTCTGAGGGCTTTTTAAAGCCCCCCAGCAGCGCCGGGCCCACTCACGCAGGGCCAGTTCAGAGGCTGGTGCTAACGAGCTGCATCTAAGGCTCTCTGCACAGCGAACCCAGCGCAGAGTCAGTCTTTGGTCTCCACCAGGCTGCGGCTGACGCGCTACCAGCAAAGAGCAAGGATCATCGAACAAACCCACGGCTCTTCCAACTGTCGCTCAAAAGCGACAGCGCGCAAAGTTATCTGTAAAACAGCACCAGACGCTCCACAGCGCAGAGCTTACAGCACCGGCGGCCTTACACGGGAGCAGGCAACCAGTCTCCAGCTCCAGCCTGCCACCCTGAGTTGACACCGTCAGCTGCCGCAGCCGCAGCGTCTGCTGCCGACGCAGGGCTGAGGCACAGGGACAGCAAAATGCCCAGGTGAAACTCTCTGCCAAAAAAAGCACATTTATTGGAGAGGGGGCCCTCGCTGAAGGCCACACTTTCAAACCAAACCCCTGCGCCAAGCTTTTCTCCCAGACTCACCCCAATATCCGAGTGGTTGGCAACAAGCTGAGCCACCCTCTCAGCAGAAGCGATGCCAGGCTGAAGGTCTGACATTTCTGGGTCTTCCTCCTCTGCCCTTCGAGAGCAGCGGCCCTGCCCCAGCATGTGGGCCCAACAGGCAGCATCTCCACAACAGGTCGCTGTGCCATGAAACCAAACGGGCCGTGCCAGTGTTTTAGGAGAAAAGCTAGCGGTCTGCCCAGTCCCCCCACCTCCACCCAGAGAGTTTGGTTACAACTGTGGCAAAAAATAAAAAAAATCTGTTGAAAACCCATGAGCTACACACACACACGCTGCTTGGAGGTCTGCTGTTCTCAGGAGCTTGGATGGAGAGTAACTGTGCCTTTAAAATACTGCAGGACCAGCTCCAGCTTAAACCCCTGTACCAGCCTCCGCCTGTATTTAAGCAGAGTGCTTAAACATGCCTGAGACCCCGCGGTGCCCCAACAGCCCCCCTCAGCCCCTTCACTCAGCAAGGCAGCACACCCAGGGCTGGGTTGGTCTCCCCTGCCCTGGCCAGGAGCCTCCAGGACAGACAGCCCCCTATGCCCCCTGCCGGGGTCTCTCCCAGCTCCTGCCTGGCGTCTGTGATGCTCCCTCCCTCTTCCTCTGCTTTTGGGGAGGCTGAGGACAGAGACCTCCAGCTCTGGTCCCTTTTGCCACCCCTCTCTCGCAGGCCAGAGGCGCTGGGGCTCTGCCCACTCGCCAGCCTCCCATGCCGACTCTTTTGCAAGAGCTGCTCCAAGCCCGGCTGCGGGAAGCAGCCCTGAAGGAGACAAGCAGAGCTGGGCTGGAGCGCGAGGTCTCCTGCTGTTCCATGAAACCCAGCCAAGTATTCTCAGGGTTTTCCTAGGCAAAGGCCAAGCAGAGATGGGCCGATTTGCAATCCAGAATATACAGGGCAAGTAACCGAGGCAGAGTGCAAGTTGCTAGGCGCCGTCGGGAGGTGCCTGCTGGAAGGGCACAGTCCCTGCTGCAGAATAAAGTCACCCCAAACCACCCCAAAGCCACAACGGCCTCACAGAATGGAAGTAACCGCTCAGAAATACATCACTGACTGCTTCTAAAAAAGAAACGCATCTTTCCACTAACCAAGTTTGCACTCAAGAGTCATTAGGAGACAATTTACAAGCCACCATAGAATACCCAGCACTTAAGCGTTATTTTGTGACACACGTCTATATTTGATGTTTGTGCAAGACCCTAAAGCTACAGAAACCCTACAAATGGAGCTGGTCCATGCCACAGGATCGATAGGTTGGCTTACGGAGAGCAGAGCCCTTGCTGGAGCATCAGGCTGAAGGTGGCGAGGGCCCGGCCCCATCAGCCTTCGCTGCGACAGCCGCAGCTGCGGGAGGTGTAAGAGCACGAAGGAAGCGCCTGTGTCAATGCCAAGGGGAAACTGAGCCAAGCCCTGTCAGAGCGAGTTCTCCGCACAGTCAGATCCACACTCAGCTGCTTTTCAGGTTGGTAGGTGCCAAGAACACGCTGCAAATTTACAGCCAGCGCAGAAGGAGAGGAGGGCTTGCCTTGAGACATGGTCTAGTAACGGGTTGTGACAGACGGAGAGATTCAGCGATAAGAGTCGGACAGTCCTCGCAGATGCAACCCCATCACTTCCAGCTCCTGGGCAAAATCACGAGCACCCCCAGGTTACAGACTCAGACTCCAGCCCAGGAGAGGGAAGGTCTAAGCCCCACACCTCCAGGAGGAAACAGGCCATGCAGGGGAGATGCCTGGGTGCTTTAGCAAAAGCAGAGACAGGTCCTGGGTGCAAGCAAGTGCAGCGTGCATCGCTGCAGGAGCACCGCAGCAGCAGGTCAGACCTGACAAGGACACTTGAGCGCAGCAGCAGCGCCAAATCCCAGCACGCAGCATCCCAGGGCGCAGGGCCCGGCACGACACCCACGTCTCCCCATGGCCCAGACTGCCCGGGGGCCATGCTGCGAGCGAACCCTGCCGAGCAGCATTTGCAACTCACCTCACCTGCTCCGGCTGGAAAGAGGAAAGTGGAGCTCCCTGCAAACCTCTGCACCCGCCCGGCAGCTTCTCCCCTTTCCCCCGCCACCCTGAGCATCCCTCTGGAGCTGCCTCCGCCCCAGGGCTGCCAGAGGGAAAGTCTGCACCCAGGGCACAGGGCTGCTGTGGCTGCTGCTGGTGCAGCCAGTCCTGCTGAGCAGCAGGAA